CTCCGTGTCATTTATTCTTTGCCGACTCCGTCCACACCTTTGGGGACCCCTGGACCTGCTGGGGTTGGACCCCAGCATCCCTCCATCTTGTTTCAAAGGATAAGAGATCTTTTTTACAGCAGCATAGTATTCCGTGGTGTAGATGTACCACAGCTTTTTTATCCACTCATCTGCTGACGGGCACTCGGGCTGTTTCCAGATCTTAGCTATTGTAAATTGTCTGCTATGAACACAGGGGTGCATACATGCTTTCTGAGTGGTGTTTTGGGTTTCTAAGGATATATTCCCAGAAGTGGGATCACTGGGTCACATGGCAGTTCCATGTTTAATTCTTTTAGGGAACTCCACACTGTTTTCCATAGTGGTCTTGCCATCGCAATTCCCACAAGCAGTGCACAAGGTTCTGTTTAAGCCACAAAACCATAAAAATCCTAGAAGCACAGGCAGCAAAATATCGGACATCTCACGTAGCAGAAGAATTTTCACTGGTACACTGCCGAGGGCCAGAGAAACAAGGAGAAATAAGCCATGGGCTGCATCAAAATAAAAGGCTTCTGCCAGCAGAAGAAACCAGCATCAAAACGGAAAGGAGCCCACTGCCGGGGAGAACATATTTGCCAATGAAACATCTGGTAAGGGCTTAATATCCCAAATATATAAAGAACTCATCCAACTCAACAAAAGAAAGACAAACAATCCAATTAAAAAACGGCCAGAGGACCCGAAGAGACACTTCTCCGAAGGGAACATACAGAAGGCCAAGGGACATGAGAAAAGGTGCTCAGCATCGCTAATCATCGAAGAGGTGCAAATTCAGACGAGAATGAGGCACCACCGCACACCGGCCAGCATGGCTGCCGTCAGCAGATCAACAACAAGTGGTGCGAGACTGTGGAGAAAAGGGAGCCCATGTTCTAGCTGAGCCTCTTCCTCCTCGTCTGCGTCAACTGGGAGCGATGAGAGGCATAACCCGGCCTTCGTCCCTCTCTGTTGGCCCCCGGCCCGGCCCGGGGGTGTGCCCAGGCTCCTGAGTGCATCCCAGGGCCAGGCTGACCATGCACCAGGCAGCGCCATGCCTGCCGCCAGCTCCTCCCGCAGCCTCGCTCCAGCGCTGGGTCCTGCTGACTTCCCGTCACTGCTTCTTCCAGTGGGGCTGCCAGCAGACCCTGCCAGACGCTTCCAGGGAGCGCTGGGTCCAGAACCAAGACTGGGAATTTACCGACGAGCAAAGTGACGCTCAAGATACAGGCAAAGCCACAGCTCCTCCTGTGAACACACTTCCCCGCCCCGCTGCTGATCACGGAGCCCCCCCACCCAGGAGCCCCGCCATCCAGGAG